TGTCAATCCTAACGCCCACCCACTTGGAGGATACATTCCGGCAAGCGCGCGTTAGGAAGGACGCGGGCGACGTAATGCCATAAATATTAATTCGCGCGATACACATCAACGCGGAGAGATATGCTACGTGATTTACCGGAAGCGATAGTTTATGGCAGCGACACGACGTGACCGCCGCTGCGGGCCCGATCCAGGTCGTCGCCACAGGTGGCGACTCCCTAGACACTCATTTCACATTATACATTCTCATACACCGCAGCGATGTAATTATTATCCTTCATTTATCGGCGTTATTTGTGTCGCTTATTTAATCGTGTAAAACTGACCGGGATACGTCAAACTTGTCTATGTATTGTGCCTAAAACATTTCTACTTCTATTTGCAATGATAAAATAATAGAATAATGTCACATTCGTCACAACTATATTGATGACAAAATCAGATTTATTCCAAAATTTTTATTTTTCCATACTTTATGCGCGTTACGGCTATTTCTTCTCAAAAATATCCCCAAACGATCACTTCCGTCGCGTAAATATGCACATTGAGGAACTTTCAATGACTTGGACGAATTCCATTTGCATTATATTCCGCCACTTTAGAGACTAGATTCTGAATGTGCTGTGTATATCGTAGGAATATCCGCCAGCTGATTAAACCAAGCCCACACCGCGTCTCCCGGGATGTTCGAGATCCATAAAGCCGCTTCTACACCTTCCGGGCGTTCATTATGTGAATTGATACGGTCTTCCGGAGCTATCGCGATGTTAGTGAAGAGGTTTGATTAAACAGAAAACGGAGATCGTTGTTCCGAGGTTATAATGTAGTGCCTTCCTGTCCGCTCTAAAAGGAAAGGAACAAAGAATGAAGCGCGGGTATGGGCGAATTTGAGGGGGAAGGGGGGGAAAAAAGACCAAAGAGAAAAGAAGGAAGAAAATCCGAGATGAATACGGCGTCTGCTGCGTCGTTTCGCAGTTTTCGCAGTTTTCGGTTAGTTCGTTCGGTGAAAAAGCCATAGCAACATCTTGGACGCACTACTGCCAGTCTCTTCAGTTTAGGTGCACGGTAGTTACTGAACTGCGAAAAGGACGATGGTGAAAGGGAGAAAGAGATAAAGACAGAGGATAAAACGGGCGAGAGACCGCCGAACTAATCAGACTCGACCAATTCGAGTCGTTTCCCGGCGGAGAAGAGAGAGACGCTTCCTCCCGGCGGACAGGATAATTTAAACTTTCCCGCAAGCGAGCGCGCCGCGAACGCGTCGTGACGCGCGGCGTCGTCTACGCGCATCTCGGTCACTACGCTAAACAGAATTAGATACAAGCGTCAGATTCAAACGTTAACCACCGCGAAAACCGGTAGCTCCGGCGCCTCAGATATACACAGCGCGAAAGCAAATCGTCAAGGACTCTCTATACAGGGAATAGAGTAAATTGAGTAACATTATTAACGTAATAATATTCAGCACAAGATTTAAGCTTTTCGCAGCGGCGAAACTAACTAAAAAGCACTATCGCTGCACTATAGCGCGGCAAAACATACTACATTAATCTTTAGAATAATTTTCTTCTCCATATATAAAGATGGAATATATAACTTTCACAACGTCACGTCAAGTTCACATATTTGTACAAATTATTCCAAAAAATCGATGAACGAGAAATTCATGATATTAAAAACTTATAGTAGACCTTTGTGCATTATAATAACACATGACTATGAAATTAGAAGCCACTATGAAATTTTAATAATAGACGGAGTACAAAAAATATGGAAATGACAAAATTCTATCTTGTACTTGAATTCAGAAAATTTAATCTGTATAATACCATAACATCAAGTTATTAGCGTCAGCGGAAAAAATACGGGCGATTGCCTGCGCGAGGAAAAAATAATCGTACGCATCGTCCCCGGCGCGTTGTCGTCACTCGTGACAGAATAATCTAAACTTTCGTACAGCGGCGAATATCATTCGGCCTTAATTACGCCGGAGAGTCGGAAAGACGTATCGCGTCAGAGGCGAGCGTGACATTCGCCCGCGACATCGTGCCGCGCGACCCTGTTGCGGATACGAAACAAAACCTCGGTTGTGACGGTAATTACGCGGGAGACTTCCGTGCGCCGCCGTTTAAATTAAGCCATCTGCCAGCAGATGAATCGGTTGCACGCTCGACAGGATTTATCGCCGTTTTTGATGTTCGATTAAATGGCTCGCAAACACAGGCGCACGCGCGCGTTACCTCACCGTAAATCTGAATAAAACTATATTATACCGAGATAACGACTGCGATACAAAGGATGAATTAAGCACAAAAGGAGAACTATGCATTTAATGGTACTTTGCGCGTTGCTAAAATGTAGACTGAGTTGAAGTCATTATTTGCAGTCTACCACTAAATACTTTCAGCCAATCAGAGAAAGAAGTAACAACAAACATTTATTTTTGTTACTAATGCACTGTTAATTTTTGCCTTAGAGATATAATACTTTAACCATTAATCTCTCGTTAATGATAGACACTGAGATATTCGTGTAAACTTTTTCAACTTAAGAGAGAAGATTGTTTAATTAGTATTTATAGAAACACTATTTATTTTAGCTTAAGACACCGTGGAAAAACTGCCCTAGCGTAATTTTATTATCCTTCTCGGTAATACAAAAAATAAATATGTAAATAATTGCCGCTTCAGTTTCCACACAAATGGTGTTTTTCGTATTTTCTTCGCACACCACAAAGTGTTGAATATTTGGTTAGGCTGATTTCGATTCTGCCATGATTGTGAGGATTCTTCTCGGGCGTTTGCGGTAGTGTCGCGACCAACGCGAACGAACGTGATGTGTAGCGAAACGAATTCAGAAACGAACTAAAAATTCAGTGATGCCGTCTAGAGAGAGAGACGGAAGCGATTTAACTTTGCGCGAGCGAGAGCGACGAGAGGTTCACCCTTGAACGGTGGTTGGCTGCGGGGAAGGATAGGGTGTGTGCCCTTTGATGAGAACATCCGTACAGGCCGTTGGCGCAAAAGGGCCCCTTACTCGTCGGTATTCCACCCGCCTATACTGCTAACGGAATACATTACTTTTTAACGAGTTGCGCCAGAGGCTACGGGAAATGTCCTGGTTCCACATGCGTCAGATAAATAGCAAATTTTCAACGCAGCGCGAATTTTGCTTCGAGAAATCGGCAGGGTAACGTTATCAGCGCAAGAAAGAACGACAACTACGAATCAGTATAACTGATTCAATATGAATAGTTTCTCGCGTTATATCGTAGATTACGACGCTGTTTTTATGAGAAATTTTAACTTGTAAAGATTAAGCAATCAAAACATCAGTTAAGTTCTAATTAAAATTTTAGGTTTAAATCAAATTTGACTAACGCTAATTAGTTTGACTAACGCTAATTTCGTTTTCGTGAAACAGAAGACAATGTTTGCTTCTCTTTTCTCGTTATTTAGCAGCATAGTTAATCTTACGCATTGAAGTTAAAACTTAAATTTTTTTATATCGCGTACGATTTCACAGTAGACAAAACAAAAGGAAAAAAAATCGGCAACTCAATTAATAGCAATCCGAGTTAGGGTCAAACAGAACGCGTGTTTACACGCGTGCGGGTGAAATTCGATTGTTTTCACAAAAGAGTGATGTCACGAGCGCACGAATAAAAATCAAACTGAAACCCGATGGAAATAATTCGCGCGCCGCAATACGACAGTCGTGTATTTTTTAGCATTGAGCGCAACACAGTCAAAGGTCGAAAAATTGGCGTACCGTTTTAGTGACGGAAAAAGATAGCTTCGGTCGCACCGAACGAGCGCGCGAAAAGCCGCTAACGCTTCAATTTTCTTCTATGAACCCCTGACCGACCGTAAAACGCGAGTGGCCGTTTGTACGAGCGTAATGTACCGATAAAGCACTCACAGGACTCGATGGAAAATCTGTAACATTTTCTCACCGGACGCGCCATTTCACGCTGCAATGTACGATCGTATCATCAAACTGTTTTTTTTTTAAAGCGTAGTCGGCATTATGACGCCCGAATAGCTTGAAAGGCCGCTACGGCCGTATTGTATGTCGGCGCAATTCAAAAATTTGTATAATCACTACCCGGTTGCGAAAGCCCCACGAATTTCGCATCCGAACGCATTCGAATGCAATCGATTGTGCTGCTACTCTATACAGCGAAGTAGCGAGAGGGTGATTTTAACGATATACCATAATTGCGCGTTAACGTCTTCATTTTGCGATTCGTCAGTTAATTAAATGACATATTATCCGTTTCTCGCGTGTCCACCTGAGCCCGCGCAATGTTCTCGTTAATCGAGAGGCTTATACCAATTACGTTAATGAGTACGCTATAATGTAGTACAAGCAGTTAAGAGTATATTAGCGTTTATTCCCGAGCGCGCTTTCGACCCAGCGCACTTCCGAATCACATTTTATGCCCATAGAGTTTGTTAAATCGAATCGGTATCTACATTCTTTATCGCACGGCGGATTATACACGCTCGATGTAACATACGGTTCACGCGCAATGTAAATCGCACGGTTGCGTGCTCAATCGGTGGCACGGTGATGAATAATAAACATTATTATAATAATAATTATCATAATATTATTTTACGTTAATATAGTGATAATAAATGTAATTAATATTGCAACGTAAATATACAATATAAATATAATCCGTAGAGTGCAAATGATTGATCATAACCTTCCTTGACACAAATTAAATAATACAAATAATATAATGTAATCATTAAGTAGAAAAATCGAATTGTTATAATTTTCTTAAAATTTTCTTTCTTCAAATTTCAATGTATTACATATTTAGAATATCATTGCATCGATAAAATCGAAACAAGTAAAAATTGTTCAAACTTTATATCAATAACTTTTGTCAAAGAAGAATATGAATGTTCTTGTTTTTTATAGTTTTTTATAGTCTTGTTTTATAGTCTTTCGTATAAGAAAATGTAACTTTTGCATATAAAACTTACCTCCTCTCGGAGAGTCCGTAGGTCCAGGGCGCTGCCTTAACCCTGCAACACAAAAAAGAAATTTTCTTAAGTCATATATAAGGCGAATTAATTGTAAAATTTACATTAAACATACAAATATATTCACTCTGGTATACGTGTACGTATTCAAGAATTAAACTCATATAAATAAGAACAAACTAATCTCACTTTGCGTTATAAAAAAATCATATACCAAAATAGTTTAGCAAAACTTCGAAAAACAATTTATTTACGATAAAGCAAAACATTTGGGTTAACCAGTAGTACACTGGTACATACACTGTGTATACTGCGGTTTTACTTCGAAAATATTCGCACTATCAATACGACGCGTCGCGCAGATAAAAAACATTTGTTTTGTACAGTATGATTTATGTACGTAAAACATAGTTGTGCAAATTATTTGTTTTATAATACTTTCGTTTCCAATTATTTAGAATACATAAACACAAACTTTTTTAACTATAGAATTAAGTGTTAAAGTGACAACAAAAATAAAAAACTTTGGAAAATTATTTTTTATATAAATAAATGTGTAAAATAGCTGTATAAAATCTTTTAAAAATCAAAATAATTTCAAGGCATTCTCAATTACTCGCAAGGAATTAAAAAACTAGAAATTGATTAACTTTTAGACTAGCAAAGAGTTCAGCAATCAAATAAAAGTTATAAAGCAAAGCGCGTGTTCGATACTGTTAGCATTTTCACACACAGCAAAATGAACAGAATAACTGAATTTATCCGAGATGTACCACAAAATCGTCTCCGTGACCGGTGCGCGCGTCTCCAGTCCGACATTTTCCACCATTGTTATACCGGCCGAAACTACTAAACCAATTGGTTGAGGCTAGCACGGAGGTGCAATCTAAACTTTCGAATTCTACAGACGAGTTGCAGCCCTTGAGGCCTTCGTGTAACCCTCGCAACGGCACTAGGTCCCGTCCTGGATTGCGTGCTCAAGCAAATTAATTTCACGAAATATTCGAAAATTGCCACAATATCCGACGACTTAATTACTGCATGAATTTATAAAGCAAACTAAACATTTTTTAATTAATAACATCAGAAAATTGCCAGTAGAAAAATAATCAAGCAAGAAAATAACAAAAAACTTCTTTTTTCCTATTAATCTACACATAATATTCTGTTGTTCTACAGATAACATATATGTTTATTAGATTGACAAATACTTTCTAATGAAATCATTCTTTTACAGTCTTCTGTAAGTTAAAGATCGGTGGTTTAAATTTTATTAGTTTTCATCAATTAAAACTTTTATTTCTCATTTCACGACAGACAGCACAATGTAATAGCTTTTTCCCTCCCTTCTGTAACATTGACATTGACAACTTTGACGAGTCCCGGTTTCATGCAAGAATTATCGGAGGAAACTATGATGAGCGGGCGATTTACGGATTTACGCGTCCTCATGTTCCCCGGAGATCGAGTAGTTACGAAGGGCATATTCTCTTGAGATACTTCACACGAGCTCTCTTTCGAGAGCTTCGCTCTGCGTTCTTGACAAGATTGAGTGACAGGAGAAAAGTACTTACATTCCCCGTATCAAGATGCAAACTCATCACGCATGCTTATTTTGCATACTTTATCTTGCGTTTATGTAACTCTTCTATTCTCAGTTTTCGCTACAACACACTTTCATACATTATTTGCAATATGCAAATAAATTCTTTCAATTAGAGCTATTCGATATTAATCAAAAAGATTTATTCAGTAAATAAACATTTTAAATAAACAATATATAGTTTAAGATAGAGAAAGAAATGTCAAACAGAAATTAAATTTTTTAGTTTTCCTATGTTTATGATTGAATTCTGACTTTAAAATTAGCCGATTCAAGTCCAACTCGTTTTGAATAGGAAGTCTTGTGCTATACAATAGGTACTACACAAAAAAAAATTAAAAAAAAAAAATTATACACAATTCACTATTTTTCAAACTCAACATATTAGCAAATAATTAAAATAATAATTTCTTTTTTAAATTAGTAGGGCGTAAAATTTACGGGAAAAAAATACCTGTATCATTAACAGTACACCTGCAATAAAACCATTAAAACAAAGTTGATAATGTGGCTCAATTAATTTTAATTTAAACTTTATGTAGTAACGTGCTTTGCTTTAATATTCGAGTTGCGCATCCCGGCAATATAACCAGTCGCGGAAGGAGCCTTCCAACACTTTACTACATACTAGTCACTTGAGATGAAATATTGTTTACACGGTTCTCCCTAGATAATTCATTCCGGATAATGCAGTAAACGAAAGAAAAGATTGGTTCCGTATTTTATATTATATTAATTTACTTTTTTTGCGTTTATAAAAAAGGCAATAAAAATAATATTACATTTTCTCAAATCTTATATTCTATATTTTTCATGCCTTTAACTAATTCAAGCGTCAATTAGTAAAATCCTTATTCTCTTTTACAAACTATACAATACAATAAAAAATGTAATAAGAAAAAAAATAAAAATTTACTACCGCTTCATAGGATTAAAATTCTTTCGCTCTACGTGGTTTGTGACTTTTGATGATTTTCGCGTGAAGTAATCATCAAAATCGAACCGTGCAAATTACCTTGGGAAAAGCACGGCCGCGCACGAGCTTTATCTGTTTTTGAGCTCGACGTCAACGGTAGAACCCGGCCTGAGTCGCCGAATTACAAATCCGACATGGCGCACCGGGATAAAGGCAACGAATCCTGACGCGAAAAACGAAGGGGCAGGAGCGAGCGGAAAAGAGGAGAAAAGGGAAAAGCGAAACGAATGTATTTCAATCTCGCCCGTTGCCAGCCGCGCCACTGGAGTTTCGGAAAACTTTCGCTACTCGGGTTCGTCCGGCTGACTGAGTTTTTCGAAGCGGCTGGCTGTAGAGAAGCGGACGATAGTTCAGTGAGTATGCGCGATGTTCCCTGCAGTCGGATTCCGATCGACAAGCTTCTTGCTTCAAATCACAAAACTTAAAAAAGAACGATATCTAACGAAGCGACTTTGGCAGCGGATAATATTGTTATTTTGAAGACAGTGGAAACTTCACGCATCTCACAATCTCACTTTAATATAAAAAACGTCGAGATCAACACAATTTATTAATTTTAAAATTACAACAGTTATCATGATTTCTATTTTATTCCTTCACCAACCAGATAAATGTTGTATAAAAAAATATTTTAAATTAGAAAACAGTTTTGTTTTTTAACGTTAGTTTATCTTCACAGTTCACTCGCTTGAAGTTTTTACACGATAGAGCTTTGTTCAATTTTTCTTTGCAATATGTCTAAAGTATTTAAGAAAATCATCCACTCTTAAAAAAGGCATGAAAGATCGATACTCGAATGTATCGAAAGTATTGTTGACGCTTTTCCGCGACGCTGATTGGTTATCTCGATTATTCTGACAGTTTGATAGTTAGAGAGCAAAGGTTATTTTGACGGTTATTTAAAATAAAAAAATTTTATTAAAATATTTATATTTCATAATTATTAAATTATTACAATAAGTGCGCGCGCGTAGCGCGCGCTTGTATTGTTCTAGTATTATTTAAAAAAATGTATAAGAATTTATACTGCAGTTGTGTAAATACGAGCAAACATCATAATAAATTTTAATAGCCGAGCACTCATCTACCCTTTGCCCTATGAATAGTTACTATGTTTGTAGCAGGAACGATTCCAATAAAAATGAAGAAACGACACCTTTCATAAAAGTAAAAGAGCTCTCTCTGTTACGTGAATGCAGCATCGAACGGCTTCTTATGCCATTTACTCCCCTTCTATATACAGCGCGAAACGACCAACGTCCATAAAAGACATCACCATCCGATCACATTCGGCGTTC